ATTTCAGATTCAAATCGCGTTTTGACGAAATGGTTGATACCCAGAACATTTCAGAAGCTCAGAAAATGTCACGTTTGCTTCATTTTCTTTATGGCCCAGCTCGAAGTGCTGTTGCAGGTTTTGAAGGAGTGCCTGGTGGGCTGGGTAAGGCACTAAAAATGTTGCAGCAACGTTTTGGACAACCGCATATTGTGGCAAAGGCATGTGTTGATGCTTTAGTCGATGGACCAAAACATATCAAACAACGATGGACAAGGGCTGCAGGAATTTGCTGACCGCTCAAGAAGATTGTATGAGACATTAAGATCACTTAATGTCCTGTCAGAAATGAACATGTCAAATGCGGTGGCCGGTCCCAAGACAACGAAAATGGCAGAGCAAGTTGGACCTAGTGACCGAGCGAAATCAGATAGGGATTCAAATTCAACAACGCTAAAAGTGAAATGTTATGGCTGTGAGGCTACACATAAGATAGAGCACTGTCCTGATTTTATAAACAAATCTATGAGGCAGAGAATAGTCTTCGCAAGGTACAAGGGGCTTTGTTCAAACTGCTTACGCAAGGGACACTTTTTTTAGTGAGTGCCAGTCAACCTTTAAGTGTAAACACTGCCAACAACCACATCATTCCTTATTGCACAAACCAACTGAGGTAAAGAGGGAGCATTGGCGACCCTAAGGTAGACACAGGGCCAAGTGAGCAAGCAAATGTGAATACCGTAACAACAGCACCTGTTGAAACACCAAGTCGCACGTCTTCTACGACCTCAAGGACTAAGGTTGCATTACAAGTTGTTCGAGTTAAGATGATGAGCAAAGAAGGAGGCTCTGTTACTACATTTGCACTGCTTGAAACTGGGAGTGAAGAGACATTTCTCTCCAAGGTTATTTGTGATAAACTTGGGTTCCAAGTTAGCAACTGCGACACTTTGGCTGTATGCACATTGTCGGGCGAGTCCTCAATTAAAGTTGGTCAAGCCAATGTTTGAGTGAAAGCTGTTGATAGCCGGGACAATCGCACCCTAGCAATTGAAAACATTAAAGTTGTAAACAATCTGAACATAATAACAATATAATAATAATAATTAAAACTTATATAGCGCAACTTTCCATGGCACATGATCAAATGCGCTTTGCAATAACTTAAAAAAAAGACCAAAAATGAATAAAATTTACAAGCAGGTAGAAAGATTAAAAATGAAATAAAATGATAATGAAACGATAAATAATAAAATAAATGAAACAAATACTCTACTACAGATTAAAAGCCTGTTTAAAAAGATATGTTTTCACATGGCATTTAAAATTTGACAGAGAGTCAAGGCTGGATATTTCACTAGGTAGGTTGTTCCACAGCTTTGGGGCCGCATAAGAGAATGCTCTACCACCAAGTGTTGGGAGTATCTTGCCGCCTGGAACCTCAAGCATAACTTTTTTGGCTGGATCTGAGGGAATATCCTGTTGATTTCCTTTGATTTCCTTTGGCTGATCAATTTGCAAATATAATCTGGCGCCATGCCATGAGTAGCTTTAAAAGTCAAAAGTAAAATCTTAAACTCAATGCGATACTTGATGGGAAGCCAGTGAAGCTGAGATAAGACTGGTGTTATATGGCAAAACCTAGGTTGCTTAAAAATAAGCCTTCCAGCTGCGTTTTGAACTTTTTGTATCTTATCGATTTGTACCTGTGGCAATCCATAGAGTAAACTGTTACAGTAATCTAATCGGCTGGAGAAAAACGCGTGAATCAAAGTCTCCGAGGAGTCACGCGATAGGTGTTTTCTTATCCGCTTAATGTTCCGGAGATAGTAAAATGGTGCATTACAGACTTTGTTGATGTGGGAGTTCATTGACAGCTTGTCATCAATGTAAGACCCAAGGTTTCTAACAACGGACGATTTCATTGTAGCAGATTTTCCCACGGTGATAAGAGCGAAGGACTTGCCTAAGTGACCTCATTTGAAGGACCTTGAAATCCCTGACGTACATGACGAGCAGGTGACCATGCTGATCGGTGGTGAGTTGGCAGATCAGCAGATGAAACAGTTTCTAAGGCTTGAAGACGTTGGCATGAACAGGAGTTCCAAGAATAAAGGAATGTCAATTGAAGACGAGGAAGCACTGAAAAAAATGGAAAACTCAGTTTGTGTAGTAGACGGACACTATGAAGTTGGAATGTAATGGAAGAGTGATACTCCTTGGCTGCCAAACAACAAGCAGACGGCAGAAGCAAGACTACAGTCTTTAAAAAGAAAACTCAAGCGTAATGAGATGAGAACTTTCACAAAAAGTATAGGAAGTTTATGGAAAACCTCATTCAGAAAGGATATACCAGAAAGATGACTAAAGAAGAGGCGATGCTCCGAAGCCACAGGACGTGGTATTTGCCACATCACGGTGTGTTTCACCTCCCAAAGGCAGGGCAAAATTCGTGTAGTATTTGATGCGGCGTCTTTCATGACGAGATTCATAGAGATCTGAAATCATAGACCCCTGCTGATGTTCGCCTATTCAATAGGCGAACATCAGCAGGGGAGCTCTGTAGAAGTAATCAAACTTTTTACGGCTCATTTACTTGGAGGTGACAAATTCTCATATCAACGGAATTCCTGTACGTCAACAAGATTTCGGTTCAACAAAAACACTCAACTACAAATTAGCCGCATTGGAAGTCTTTCTGCCGAACCGGAATGCATTTGCCTCTGTAGTGGCTTCTCTTAAAATTTATTGCACTTCAAGAAGAGTGATTTTACGCACTTCTTACTGGGGAATTTTCCATTGTATATTTTGTTTAGTTGTATTTATTAAACACTAAGCGCCAGTTATTTAACTGGTATATTACAAAATCGCGTCATAATTAAGCCCTTTTCTGTTTAACCAACGCTTTTATCAAACCCCATTTATCGTGAATAATTTCAATACAGCATACAAGGCAGACTGAAAAACTAAAGCACTTATTTTATTAAACTAACCCACCAAGAAAGAGGCCTGGAGGTCCAATGATTTCTGAAACCGCGGCCTAAGGTAACCCGTAATGGTTTGAAAGTAATGTCAGTCTATTTTCTTTTTGCCTCTCTCGCAAGTGAAAGTGAGAGTTCACTGAGACTGTGCGGTTTTCTCGAGTGCGTTTTAGAAGCTGCCTTAACGGAAAGGTTACTACACTACCGGAATTAAAACATCGAGGAAATTATTAATTTAAAGCCGCGGAGTATTTTCCGCAACAATGAATAATATTACCTCTAACTTGCTGCGATAACACTGCAAAATATTTCAGATTATTTTTCAACTGAATAGGCTGCGAATTTAATGCGATGATCATGTTCACTTTCATACCTTCATCCGCATTTCAAATATTTCAATTCATGCTTACAAGATCTCTCTAATTTTATGTCTGAACGCAAGGCTTTTTTAATGGAAACTTCATTCAAGGGCAGAACTAACACTAAGCGCCAAGCGGAAACTGCCTTATGAAAAAACTTTTAAAGTTGACACGCTGTTTTTAAGGCCTCACTGGATCTGGATGGGGCTAAATACAAACGTAAGCGAAACACCAATTTTGCAATATTTAAATAATGTCTAAAAAATAAAGCTTCCCTCTGAGATACCTGGTCAATAAAATTCTCACAGATCCACAACCTAAAAAGGCTAAGCTGTTCTGTTGAATCAGGAAGGCCAAACTTTTTGTCTTAATGCTGGTCAGAGATTCAAACAATATCTAAAAGCGCGTTTTTAGTTCGCTCTGAGACACCCGGAGAATAAAATTCTCACAGAGCCACAGCCTAAAAAGGCTAAGCTGCGCTGTTGCATCAGGAAGGCCAAACTTTTTTTCTTAATGCTGGACAGAGATTCAAACAATATCTAAAAGCGCGTTTTTAGTTCCCTTTGAGACACCCGGAGAATAAAATTCTCACAGAACCACAGCCTAAAAAGGCTAAGCTGCTCTGTTGCATCAGGAAGGCCAAACTTTTTTTCTTAATGCTGGACAGAGATTCAAACAATATCTAAAAGCGCGTTTTTAGTTCCCTCTGAGACACCCGGAGAATAAAATTCTCACAGAGCCACAGCCTAAAAAGGCTAAGCTGCTCTGTTGCATCAGGAAGGCCAAACTGTTTTACTTAATGTGGGGCATGCATGCACTATCATCTTCACAGATCTAATCAGTTCAAAATTAAATAAAGCTTTAATCTGTAAATCAATGTTTGGTTTATGAAATTTTACTCACTTTTACTGACTGTTGATAGCCACTGGCTTTGGCAAAATAAATTTTCCTGTTTTCTTAAAAGGGATTCGATAAAATTGAAAATATCCACTACGATCCACACTTAAAAACTGAACTCTGACTCGTTTGCGATCAGGCTTAAGAAATAGTGATCTCCATCAACATTCTCCATGAACATTACACTTTCACATCATTAGCAGTTATTGAGAATTTATGAAATGATCGAGTGATCAGTGTCGACCTTAAAACGTTTTTGTGCTAAAATGATAATAGGTATCCATTTGAAGATGATACAAAGGAACCCAAAATAGACTTACCAAGTTTCGGCCGATGTTTAGAAAATTGAAAAGGGCTGGAGAGCATCACCGTTCAGGCTAAATCCAGTCAGCGACCCTTAATAAAAATCATTTAAGCCTACATAATCAACAACGACGTGAATGCCCGAGTTTCTGACTTGACGGTCATCTGCCACCGTCAGGAAATCGTACTATATTGCTTCTCGAATGAATCCCTCATTTTAATTTCCCCAATTCATTGATCCACGACCAAGTACCTTTTCAAGATCTTCTCCGCATGACGAAACGCTTTCTCTGACTTCTCTGACCGCTTCCTACTATATTTTCTAGTAGCTGGAAGGAATTTAGTCCTTTTTTGATCGCTTTAAACCTGCTTTCGTCTGCATTTTATCCGCGCAAGTTAAAGGCTCGTGCCAAGGTTGAAACGACAACAACATGATCTCTTTCCTCTTTGAAAAACCAAACCTTGATGGGTTGACTCGAGCGCCAGTACTATCTGTACTATCGACCAAATCATAAATAGCTATAAACAGTATAAATAATCGGCCCTGCTACTTCCAAGCATCATCTCTACATAAAAAGCATAAAATTTTGACTTGCCATGAATTATTTCTGTCGGTAAAACCATTTGGTCACTGATACTGCGTACGAGATTACCTTTGTTTGGCAAGCAAGGGTCCAAAGACTGAAGATGCTTTTCCCGACGAACGCGCCTTTTTCATGTCGGCTTTGAAATTCGCGCGAGATCGCATTGTGATACAGATAGTATCTGTCTTTCGTCTCAGCTCGTCTTCCATCAGTGACGCAAAGTACACAAGTCATGACAGATTAGTGGCTATTAATTGAATCCTAATTAGGTTTTTACAAGGACACCGGAAATTGAAACTTCCTCCCTGTGGTGAATTTCAAAGTCGTATGAATCTCGTCATGACGACGGAGTTTCTCTCAACAACCAGTTGCTCCAGGGCCCCGACTTGGTATTTTGCTGATGTTTAGACAATATCCTATAGCACTAGTGGCTGACATAGAGGGCATGCTTAACAAAGTCAAAGTACCCCCAGCGGACTCTGATGCTTTGAGATTCCTTTGGTGACAGGACAGTGACCTTGAGAGGCCCTCGAAATTCCAGATGACAAGTCATATCTTTGGTGCCACAGACTCACCCAGTTGTGCAAACTTTTGCCTAAAGAGAGCTGCAGAGGCCCGTAAAGGAATATTTGGTGATGAGGCTGTAAGGGCGGTTGACAAGGATTTTTACTTAGATGACTTCGAAACGTCAGTAAGGACAGTAACTGAGGCAAGCTCGCTAGCCGGCGAAGTGACTTGTTTACCCAGCGAAGCCGGATTTAGACTGACGAAATGGATGAGTAACAGTCGAGAGGTGCTGTCCAAGATACCTGATGCGGATCGTGCAAAGCCAACCCTGGATTTAGGTCTTGAGAACCTCCCAGTAGAAAGGAAACTAGGAGGGCATTGGGATGTGGACAGAGATGCTTTCTTTTTCAAGGTTCGTGAACCCCACCAACCACCTACTAAACGTGGAATTCTGTTAGCAGTAAGCTCGCTGTATGATCCGATGGGATTTGTTTGCCCGGTTGTCCTGGAAGCTAAGAAGATTTTGCAAAGGATGGGATGGGACGACCTGATACCTGAAAATTTACAAAGCCTCTGGAACAAGTGGAAGTACAAGTTGGCTGTTTTATGACAAGTTCAAGTACCGCGATGCCAACTGATCGACAGCACAGTAGTCGACACATCACTTCATCTATTTTCTGATGCGTCAGAAGATTTCAACGGCATGTGCTCCTATCTCAGATTTGTCTATACTTGTGGAACTGTAAGATGTTCTTTTCTTGATGGAAGGTGGAGGAGTTCACCAGTGAGACCAATTTCGATTCCAAGGCTTGAGCAGTAGGCAGCGACATTGTCAGTGAAGATGTATAAAGTGCTTGTAGATGAATTGACTTACAAGATAAACAAGGCTACATTTTGGTCGGATTCTCAGACGACGTTGCAGATAGATAGATAGATAGATAGATAGATAGATAGATAGATAGATAGGTAGGTAGGTAGGTAGGTAGATAGATAGATAGATAGATAGATAGATAGATAGATAGATAGATAGATAGATAGATAGATAGATAGATAGATAGCTTTATTGAGAAGTAAAATCATTGCAGCCCCCGGGCTGGCTGAAATGTGACTTACTTTGCAATGGAACTAAAAATTATCTATAAATATATGATAACTACTTTAAAAACCGTAAAATATAACCTACAATAAAATACAAAAGGAGAAGTATCAACACTAAAATACTAATAATTAAGATTACTACTAATTATTAAAACTGTTCTCCATAATAAAAGTGTTTTTAAACCTATTTGTTTTACAAATCGGTAGTTTCAAGTATCTCTGGCTACAGGTACAATAAGTGGACCTGTTGCGTAGCGGCAGCAGGTCATGGAGCTTGTGGCTTTGGTCCTTTACAATTTGGTCGAATAGAGCATTACTCAAGGCCTTCCTCCTCTCGTACAGTGACGTGATGTCTAGAGCTACTAGAGCCTCAGCATAGGATAAGTCGGGTTGTATTATCCGCAACGAGCGCTTTTGCAACTTTTCCATTTCATTAGACAGATATTGCGGCAAGGAATGATGAAAAACTGGGCACGCATATTCTAATACAGGGCGTATACATGTTGTATAGAAAAGGAGCATATCCTTGGGTGGAACTTTAGCGCTCTTTAGCTGTTTTAGGAAGTACAGGTGCGTCGCAGCCTTTTTGCATATAGATTCTACATGCGCATTCTACCTGAGGTTGTCCGAAACTACTACTCCTAACAGGTTTGCGGACGAGACAACTTCGATTTGCTTATCACTGATAGTGATATGATCTACAGAACTTCCTGATGTAGAGAATGATATTCTCAGTTCTTTACATTTACACTAGTTGAGTTGGAAACCATCAGCTTCCGACTGTCGTACAAGTTCATCTACGCGGAAGTGCATGTAGCTAGTCTCGTTCTTCGATACTGAGGGATACAAGAGTGGTGTCATCAACGTATTTCCAAAGAGTTGTGTCTGCTACAGAAAGATCATTTATCATGATAAGGAACAGTCAGGAGCCCAGTTTCGACAGACAGGGGCTCAGTTAAGAATAAATCTAAGCGATTTCAGATGTACGTTGCTAACCGTATGGCTGAAATACGGTTAACTCTGCCGATGACGCTTCACGTTGCTTAAAGCCTCAGACATCGATAGTGGAGAGGACCTGAATTCCTTTGGGAGGCATAGGAGTGATGGCCAGGTGAAGTAACGTATAGGGAAGTACCAGACAGTGACCCGGAGGTGCGAATTTCACCAAATGTTGACCCCATAAGTGTAGGAACACGTCTTGTTGGCAGTCATCCCACCGAGTGCAGTGAGAATGGCAGTGCGTCAGAAGATAGTCATGCAGGTTTAAGTAGGCTTATAGAGAGCTGCAGCTCATGGTTAACCCTGCAACGCCGTGTAGCGTGGATAGTACGATAACAACAGGATTGTCCTTTCTAATGAAAGCTTTTCTGAAGATGTCAAGGAAGTGAAGCCGAATAAGTAAATCGAGCAAGCTGGGAAACCTGAGAGCAGTATTAGTAGATGGAGTACTACGGGTAGGAGAACGATTGCAGAAAGCTGTGGTACTCTCGTGGGACGAGAAACATTCGATGGTTCTACAGCGCTATCACGTGAGCCAGTTGATTGTTCGTCATTACCATGAGTCTGCCCCTTGTAGTGGAAGAGAACAAACTTTGTGTGAACTGCAAAAAATGTTCTGGATTATTGGTCGAAGAGGTCTAGTGAAGAAGACTATTAGAAGCTGCACCAGGTGCCCAAGGATGAATGCTAAACCCTTGAAGCAGTTTATGGGGCCGCTACCAAGAGCAAGGCTAAAGGCGTACCATCCTGCGTTTACTTTTACTGGTGTTGACTTGTTCGGACCACCAACCGTTAAGTGGGACCGCGGAACCGCGAAAAGATGGGGATGTTTTTTCACGTGTCTCACGTCCTGCGCTGTGCATTTGGATGCGACGCCGTCATTCGAAGCAGATTATTTCATTATGATTCTCCACCAATTCGTAAGTAGAAGAGGACCGCCTAAAGAGATTTGGTCTGACAGGTTCACTAATTTTGTAGGAGCGAACAGAGAGTTCAAAGAGTCTATTGCGCGTTGGAACGAAGAAAAGATTGATCCTCAGTTGCAGCAGAAGTGTATCAAGTGGGTCTTTCAGCCTCCCGCTCCCCCACATGTGTGCGGAGTTTGGGAACGTTCTTGTACAAATTACGGAGAAACGTCTAAAGAGCGCAGTTGCAGAAGGGCTACTCAGTGACATTAAACTTAGAATACTGTTAGCTGATGTGGAGTCCATAGTCAATAACCGCCCCATAACGGCTGTTTCAGATGATCCTGAAGATTGTTCAGCGCGGACACCCAACCATTTCCTTCTTCATAGAGCCACTCAGCTTCCACCTGGAGTATTTGTGAAAGAGGATTCGTTTTGCAGGAAGCGATGGAGAAAGGTACAGTTTCTTGCCGATGACTACTGGAAGAGGTGGATACGAGAATGTTTGCCGACTCTTCAGAAAAGATTAAAATGGGTCAAGTTAATGATTAAGCTACAATCTTTCCTCAGGCCTTAATAAGCAAGCGAGACGATAAGCACCATAATTCGTGACTGAAATTGGCGTAGTTTTCTAGCTATATTAAAATTGGTTAATATGTAGAGCAGTATAAAAATCAGTGCCAACGTGGTGAGTTCAAGTTAAGAATCAAACTTCAGGGCAGTCAAAAGATAAGCAACTGCTCTTCGCTTGACACATAAGGGAGTGGCAAGTGATTAAATCATGATGCTTACCAATTTCTCTCTTGCATGTTTTCCAAATGGAACTTTGCTTTTCGTAAACATGCATGGCTTTTGAACAATAATAACAATACCATGATGGGGTTATGAATCTAAACTGAAAGGTTCCCATATAATTATGGTGTTGCAAACGATCACAGAATAAGATTGGCCATTTCTGTGCTCCTGAGTTGTGTAAGTAATTCGAGATTTCCGTCTACTTTAAGTAATAGTTTGTTTGATTCTGATTTATCATGCGCCATTTCTCAATAAAGCGCAAATGCGTAAATCAAATATTAAATAATATTTTTATTTTTGAAAAGCCCACTTAAAGCACCGAAGTTTTAGAACTTGCTGACAATATTGGATTTACCGTTCAGCTATATCTTTCAAACGATCGATCCTTATTTTTTCTTTTTCTTTATGTTTAATTTTATTATTATTTTTTATTCAACCATGCAGATGCAAATGAGTCCAGTACAGTTGAGTCAGCTACCTCGGTTTTGGCCTCTTCTACGGTAGTGCTTCATTTTACACTATTAGCCCGTCCCTCGGTGGTACCAACCTCTCCTACAGATCCAACCTCTTCTACAATGTCAGCAGGTATGTAACCTTACACCGATAACCGGTGAAGTAATCTGACGCCATGACACACTCGTAGAAAGATTAAAAATGAAATAAAATGATAATAAATGATAAATAATAAACTAAATGAAACAAATACTCTACTACAGATTAAAAGCCTGTTTAAAAAGATATGTTTTCACATGGCATTTAAAATTTGATAGAGAGTCAAGGCTGGATATTTCACTAGGTAGGTTGTTCCACAGCTTTGGGGCCGCATAAGAGAATGCTCTACCACCAAGTGTTGGGAGTATCTTGCCGCCTGGAACCTCAAGCATAACTTTTTTGGCTGGATCTGAGGGAATATCCTCTTGATTTCCTTTGGCTGATCAATTTGCAAATATAATCTGGCGCCATGCCATGAGTAGCTTTAAAAGTCAAAAGTAAAATCTTAAACTCAATGCGATACTTGATGGGAAGCCAGTGAAGCTGAGATAAGACTGGTGTTATATGGCAAAACCTAGGTTGCTTAAAAATAAGCCTTCCAGCTGCGTTTTGAACTTTTTGTATCTTATCGATTTGTACCTGTGGCAATCCATAGAGTAAACGGTTACAGTAATCTAATCGGCTGGAGAAAAACGCGCGAATCAAAGTCTCCAAGGAGTCACGCGATAGGTGTTTTCTTATCCGCCTAATGTTCTGGGGATAGTAAAATGATGCATTACAGACTTTGTTGATGTGGGAGTTCATTGACAGCTTGTCATCTATGTAAGACCCAAGGTTTCTAACAACGGACGATTTCATTGTAGCAGATTTTCCCACAGTGATAAGAGCGAAGGACTTGCCTAAGTGACCTCATTTGAAGTACCTTGAAATCCCTGACGTACATGACGAGCAGGTGACCATGCTGATCGGTGATGAGTTGGCAGATCAGTAGATGAAACAGTTTCTAAGGCTTGAAGACGTTGACATGAACAGGAGTTCCAAGAATAAAGGAATGTCAGTTGAAGACCAGGAAGCACGGAAAAGAATGGAAAACTCAGTTTGTGTAGTAGACGGACACTATGAAGTTGGAATGTAATGGGAGAGTGATACTCCTTGGTTGCCAAACAACAAGCAGACGGCAGAAGCAAGACTACAGTCTTTAAAAAGAAAACTCAAGCGTAATGAGATGAGAACTTTCACAGAAAGTATAAGGAGTTTATGAAAAACCTCATTCAGAAAGGATATGCCAGAAAGATGACTAAGGAAGAGGCGATTCTCCGAAACCAAAGGACGTGGTACGTGGTATTTGCCACATCACGGTGTGTTTCACCCCCAAAGGCAGGGCAAACTTCGTGTGGCATTTGATGAGGCTTCTTTACACGACGAAGTTTCTCTCAACAACCAGTTGCTCCAGGGTCCCGACTTAACTAACAGTTTGCTTGGTATTTTTCTGATGTTTAGACAATATCCTTTAGCAATAGTGGCTGACATAGAGGGCATGTTTAACCCAGTCAAAGTACCCCAGCGGACTCTGATGCTTTGAGATTCCTTTGGTGACAGGACAGTGACCTTGAGAGGCCCTCGGAACTTCAGGTGACAAGTCATATCTTTGGTGCCACAGACTCACCCAGTTGTGCAAACTTTTGCCTAAAGAGAGCTGCAGAGGCCCGTAAAGGAATATTTGGTGATGAGGCTGTAAGTGCGAATGACAAGGGGTCTTACATAGATGACTTCGTGAGTCAGTAAGGACAGTAACTGAGGCAAGCTCGCTAGAAGGCGAAGTGACTTGTTTACTGAGTGAAGCCGGATTTAGACTGACGAAATGGATGAGTAACAGTCGATAGGTGCTGTCCAAGATACCGGATGCGGATCGTGGAAAGCCAACCCTGGATTTAGGTCTTGAGAACCTCCCAGTAGAAAGGAATCTAGGTGTGCACTGGGATGTGGACAGAGTTGCTTTCTTTTTCAAGGTTCGTGAACCCCACCAACCACCTACTAAACGTGGAATTATGTTAGCAATAGGCTCGCTGTATGATCCGGTGGGATTTGTTTGCCCGGTTGTCCTGAAAGCTAAGAAGATTTTGCAAAGGCTGGTATGGGACGACCTGATACCTGAAAGTTTACAGAGCCTCTGGAACAAGTGGAAGTACGAATTGGCTGTCTTATTACAAGTTCAAGTACCGCGATGCCAACTGATCGACAGCACAGTAGTCGACACATCACTTCATCTATTTTCTGATGCCCGAAGATTTCTACGGCATGTGCTCCTATCTCAGATTTGTCTATACTTGTGGAACCGTAAGATGTTCTTTTCTCGTTGGGAGATCGAGGAGTTCACCAATGAGACCAATTTCGATTCCAAGGCTTGAGCAGTAGGCAGCGACATTGTCAGTGAAGATGTACAGAGTGCTTGAAGATGAATTGACTTGCAAGATAAACAAGGCTACATTTTGGTCGGATTCTCAGAGGACGTTGAAGTATATTAAGAATGAATCTGAGCGATTTCAGACGTACGATGCTAACCATATGGCTGAAATACGTGATGTTACATCACCTGACCAATGGAGGCACTGCCTAGGAAAGGTTAACTCTGCCGATGACGCTTCACGTGGCTTAAAACCTCAGAAACGTTCTTGTTAACATTGATGGTGGAAAGGACCTGAATTCCTTCGGAAGGCAGAGGAGTGCTGCCCAAGTGTAGTAGCGTATATAGAAGTACCACACAGTGACCCGGAGGTTCGAACTTCAGCAAATGTTCACCCCATAAGTGTAGGAACACGTCGTGTTGGCAGTCATTCCATTCGAATGGCAATGCGTCAGACGATAGTCATGCAGGTTTAAGTAGGCTTATAGAGAGCTGCAGCTCATGGTTAACCCTGCAACGCTGTGTAGGGTGGATAGTACGATAATAAGAGGATTGTCCGTTCTAACGGACCACTGACTTTAGAGGAACTTAGTCAGTCTACTCAAGTAATTGTTCGCTGTGTTCAAAATGAAAGCTTTTCTGAAGATATCAAGGAAGTGAAGCTGAATAAGCAAGTCAAGAAATCTAGCAAGCTGGGAAACCTGAGAGCAGCATTAGTAGATGGAGTACTACGGGTAGGAGAACTATTGCAGAAGGCTGTGGTACTCTCGTGGGACAAGAAACATCCAGTGGTTCTACAGCGCTATCACGTGAGCCCTTTGATTGTTCGTCATTACCATGAGTCTGCTCCTCATAGTGGAAGAGAAAAAACTTTGTGTGAACTGCAAAGAATGTTCTGGAATATTGGTCGAAGAGGTCTAGTGAAGAAAACTATTAGAAGCTGCACCAGGTGCCCAAGGATGAATGCTAAACCCTTGAAGCAGTTTATGGGGTCGCTACCAAGAGCAAGGCTAAAGGCGTACCATCCTCCATTTACTTTTACTGGTGTTGACTTGTTCGGACCACCAACCGTTAAGTGGGGCCGCGGAACCGCGAAAAGATGAGGATGCTTGTTCACGTGTCTCACGATCCGCGCTGTGTATTTGGATGCGACACCTTCATTCGAAGCAGATTATTTCATTATGATTCTCCACCAATTCGTAAGTAGAAGAGGACCGCCTAAAGAGATTTGGTCTGACAGGGGCACTAATTCTGTAGGAGCGAACAGAGAGTTCAAAGAGTCTATTGCGCGTTGGAACGAAGAAAAGATTGAGCCTCAGTTGCAGCAGAAGTGTATCAAGTGGGTCTTTCAGCCTCCCGCTTCCCCCCCCCCATATGTGCGGAGTTTGGGAACGTTCTTGTACAAATTACGGAGAATAATCTAAAGAGCGCAGTTGCAGAAGGGCTACTCAGTGACACTGAACTTAGAACACTGTTAGCTGAGGTTGAGTCCAGAGTCAATAGCCGCCCCATGACCGCTGTTTCAGATGATCTTGAAGATTGTTCAGCGCGGACACCCAACCATTTCCTTCTTCAGAGAGCCACTCAGCTTCCACCTGGAGTATTTGTGAAAGAGGATTCGTTTCCCAGGAAGCGATGGAGAAAGGTGTAGTTCCTTGCCGATCACTACTGGAAGAGGTGGATACGAGAATACTTGCCGACTCTTCAGAAAAGATCAAAGTGGGTCACGTTAATGATTAAGCTACAATCTTTCTTCAGGCCTTAATAAGCAAGCGGGACGATAAGCAGCATAATTTATGACTGAAATTGGCGTAGTTTTCTAGCTATATTAAAATTGGTTAATATGTAGAGTAGTATAAAAATCAGTGCCAACGTGGTGAGTTCAAGTTAAGAGTCAAACTTCACGGCAATCAAAAGATAAACAACTGCTCTTCGCTTGACACATAAGGGAGTGGCAAGTGATTAAATCATGATGCTTACCAATTTCTGTCTTGCATGTTGTCCAAATGGAACTTTGCTTTTCGTAAACATGCATGGCTTTTGAACAATAATAACAGTACCTTGGTGGGGATAGGAATCTAAAATGAAAGGCTCCCCGATAATTATAGTGTTCCAAACGGTCACAGAATAAGATTCACCATTTCTGTGCTCCTGAGTTGTGTAAGTAATTCGGGATTTCCGTCTACTTGAAGTAATAGTTTGTTTGTTTCTGATTTATTATGCGCCATTTTTCAATAAAGCGCAAATGCGTAAATCAAATATTAAATAATATTTTTATTTTTGAAAAGCCCACTTAAAGCACCGAATGTTTATAAATTCAATTCAACTATATATTTCAAACGATCCATCCTTATTTTTTTTTTCTTTTTGTTTAATTTTGTTGTTATTTTTTTATTCAACCATGCAGATGCAAATGAGACCAGTACAGTTGAGTCAGCTATCTCGGTTTTGGCCTCTTCTACGGTAGTGGTTCATTCTACACTATCAGCCCGTCCCTCGATGGTACTAACTTCTCCTACAGAACCAACCTCCTCTACAATGTCAGCAGGTATGTAACCTTACACCGGTAACGGCTGAATGAATCTGGCGCCATCACATACAGTACAGCGACAAGGATAACGGTCAGTGTAAAACGCAGTGCGGACTATTGTTTTCACCATGCAAACGAGTACGGGACAACAATACTCCCATTGTTTT